AATCACCAGCTGCCAGCAATGAGCATGTTTACGCTGTATCTGAGCGGGAAGCTCAAAAACGGCTTTAGCATCCACCTGGCCAAACAGCTTGCGAGCAGCAAGGCAGAATATCCTGCGGAATGGAACAAGTGCATGGCTTACCATACTGTCTGCGCAGCGTAGGAAAAGTCCACGATGATGATGCGGCTCATGCGCTCTGCAAAGACCTCCCAATGGTCACAACAACCCCAGAAGCACTCTAGAGCGACAACATCCAAAACCACATCAAGAGCAAACATCAAAACCCCCCACCATTGAAATCTCCATTAAAACCAGCAAAATCGCTCCGAGAGCCACCACCACAAACTCAGAAGGAAGACAGGGCTGGGCTCTTGGCAGTGCCCAACGTCTCAGCAAGATCATTCACCTGGACCACTTTGCATTGGGAGACGCACTCGCTCGGCCGCCAGCTGCTTAGGCCATCGGCAGCAGTGAAGTCTGCATTCAAGCGAGTCTGCAGCCCATGCATGTCGACCTCAGAACTGCTCGCCAACACAAGGCCATGGGTCAAAATCCCGTACCATCCCAATCCCCACTAAAATAGGCTAAAATGGGTTGTGCGCCTACCCCAAAATGGTACCACTGGTTTTGACCCACAGCCACAAGAGACGGCACCAGCGTAAGAGCGCGGCGATACAAACCATCCGACCGTCGGCGCTTGAAGCCATCCTGCTCACGACTTGCTCTTATTTCCCCAAGCAACCCTCGGTTGCTTTCTGCTCCCCTGCCAAAAGTTCAACTTTTAGTGGTTTAATGGAAAACCCGTTAGTTGGCAAAAGTTGAAGTCCTAACATCCCTTGGCAAAATGCACCAACGGACATCTCCTTCTGGCAGCTTCAAAGGTCGCGAGGAACTGGTCCCTGATTTGCCTCGCAAACTTGGGCGCCGCGAATTTTCTCCCCGATCAGTCTGGGGGTCCAGCGCCAGACCATCCCTCTGGCTCAAAGCCTGGGCCACTGAATTGATGGCCAGTCCCGCTGAGAGGAGGGCGGAGTCGGCTGATTGGCTTTGGGCGTGGGCTGGGTTCAGGGCTGTATTTTTTGCATCTAGAAAAGCTTCTAGCGGTGCTGTGGGTCTGTAAGTGTTGCATCAGTAGAACCGCCTGTCTTGTACAAGGTCACTATGCTGGCCTTCGCTATCAGGGCCTTCGCCCGTGGCAACTAATTTCGCTGTGTGCGTAGAGGTTCTGCTCTGCATCCAGTTGGCCCAGGCGACGTTTTTTTTCTGTGGAAAAATTGATACATAGATGCTTCTCAGCTCCGACACTGCGAGACATATGGCTGTGGGTCAAAACCAATGGTACCATGTTGGGGTAGGTGCACCACCCATTTTAGTCTATTTTAGTGGGGATTGGGATGTTCACTGGGGGCACGGGATTTTGACCCATGGCCACGTCAACTATACTCAAATTGCAGTTGGAAGACTCGATTCTAGCGAAGCAATCAGAGTAAGGACAAATATGGACACTCACCCAAGCTATTCCTTGGGAAAGGCGCATCCAACAAAGACACCTTCAGTTTGGCTTGCACCTATGCTCCTAAACCTACGCCCAATCGTAAATTGAGCATCTGAACATCAAGAAAGTGAAGGTTCAGCACGCAGAAAGTGAAGGAGATGGCTGGCTGCGCATACCTCTGCATAACCGCAGAAGCAATGGTGAGGCAGTCGGGTGCTGTTTGGGCCCGAAGCGAAACGAAGCGAAACCAATAGGAACAGTCAACATAGAACTCCCAAAATCCTTCCTGCCGGCATGTTTGGAGGGGGGGCGTCAATCAAACCTACGGCGCGGGAGCCAATGGAGTCAAATTGTTGATAGTGGGGATTCAGCCCGTACAGCCTACGCAAGTAGAAACTACAGCGAGCAAAAGCTAGCTTTCGTGAAAAGGGTGCGCAAATGCAAATGGACAGTGAAAATATCGAGGCCGCGACGCAGAAGTATAGTACTGGCCTCTTGTCTTTGTCATACCCAATGACCCGCATGTCGCAGCGCTTCTGGCGTTCAGTGCAGTTGGCGACTCTGACGACTCTGCCCCGAATCCGAGCGAAACGCGGCCTCAAATTCCAAAGTCGTGTAGAGCTTCCGGTCGCGCAATCGTATCCCCATGGCCTTCGATCGAGTGTTGTCCACTCATGCATTGGTGACTGTGTCCATAAACGGCCAAGTCCAAACAGCTCATCCAAAGTCAGGGTTCCACTTTTGGGCTACCCCAAGATAGACTTAAACCCAGGGGTTCTCCTTCTGGGGGGAATGAACCACCCCTGGGTTTAAGTCTACCCCGGGGAAGTCAAAAAGTAGAACCCTGTCCAAAGTGTCATCCGCCTGCAAGAAGGTGTTGTCAGCCCTGCGCTGATTGCCTTCACAAGCACGCCATATTCGCCTGTCAGGATGAAGTTTGAAGCCGCGATAATTTCGGCACCGCCAACAGGCCTGGCTGTGTCTTCATTTGCCCACTGCATTTCGGGCCTTATTTGTGGCTGTGGCAATCATTGTTTCCCAGAAGAAAGCGTCCAAGAATCGAGGCTGCGACCCGTCTGCACCAGCATGGGGGTGCTTTTCCAGGAAGATTCTCCTGCAATCCACTTCCCGCTGGGAAGAAAAGACACACCAGGGTCTGTTTTGTTTGAGGGTACCTGATTATATGTTTGTTTGTGTTTCTTGTTTCTTTGTTTTCTTGGTGTTTTTCTCCTCTTTTTTTTAGGGGTGGGGTTTGAGGGAAACCAAAAGGAAACCACCATTTTTGGAGGAAACAGGCTGGTAAAAACACCTGGTACTTTCGGTGTCTTTTTTGTTGTTTGCTGTTTCAGGCTGTGATGTGCTGAGTTGCAGATGTGAGCATGGAGGGGGGCTGGGGAGGGGAGGTGGGGGGGAGCATGTTAGCGTCATTGTGAAAGGCTTGCACGCACACGAACACACATGTCAGTGCACACTGGTTGCCGATACCGGCAAAAAGTGTCTGGAGAGCCACCATGTCCATCCCAGCAAACATTCACTCTAGTATGTTTTCTCTACACGCATGGGTTCGTTTGGAGGCATCAGCTTCGGACTCAGGTGCGTAGGCTGCAGTTCGTTGATTCAGATTTTCGAGGAGTCGAACTGCAAAAAAAAAATGGGTGTTTGACATTTTTTTGCATAAAACCAATGCTGTCCTAATTCTCCCGTTCACTGCCAAGCATGGGCCAGAGATGACAAATTGCAGAAAAGCCAGGGGAGAACACGTGTGACGCAGCTTTCGCCTCCAGGTTTTTTAGCAGCCTGTGACCTTTTTGGAGGGGTCCCCTAAAAAAAGACAAACACACCTTTCCGAGCCAAACGTGCGCCAACGCTAGTCGCAAGTGTCACCTGGTGCGGTCCATCAAGTCCAAAGCAAGCACCTTCAGCTGCAGGAGACCCTTCCCCTTGTTTTGGGGGGGGGATGCGGGGGCTGCAATCGGGTTTCACAAATTGGAATGCCAAAAGGAGCCCAGAATCCCTTGGTGCCGCCTCATAAACCATCCAAAATATGGTCATTGTGTCGAATCCTTGATGGCTTCTAAGTCCAGGGCGACATCACTGGGATCCATGTCGCTAACCTGCAAGTACACTGGTCTGAGATCTTGCCACTCTGCGACAAGCGATCAATTTGAATCAAGATCAGTAGACGGAATAGCATTTCGGCCTGTACTGGTGTGTGCTCAGTCTGATTGAAGTAGAACTGGGTGCTGAATCCACTCTCGGACTCCTGCCGTGCGCACCCGCTTTCACATGCCAACAACTGGTCAGCAAAAAGCAGCTTGCTGCTGTCCGGCACACAGGTCGATGGCGTGGAAGCAATGGAAATATCCTCAGTTCAAGGGACTTCACGTGCTTGGGACCGCTCCTGAACTGTCATCTTCTGGTTGTCAGCTCGTTTTCACATCTCCACGCAGTATGATGCGTGCTAGTCTTGCCAGTGCCGAGTGCTCGGCACTACGGACGCGACGAAGATCATCATGCGTCTCAGCGCAATCAAAATACTCCTCCTGGCAAGCAAGACTGATAAATGGAATCTGTGCCATGGCGAAGAATTTAAGACAGCTTACCATGGTTGTCTGAACCCCTCAGTGTCTGCATGACACCAATCTTTGGACGACGGCACATTTGGTGTTGTGCACCAAATGGTCTCTCCCACATAGCTCAAGCATGCCGAATGGGCTTCAATGCCCTTGCAGGAGAGCAGCAGGCGAACTGGAAGAACTGAGGAGGAAGGCTCGCGTTTCGTGGTGCCTCAGTACATCTGTACCATTGGCGTTGTTCGGAGCTCAATTAGAATGAATCTATGGGGAAGCCCTGAAACTTGAAACATCCTGGTGTGTCAGACTCTCAAAGCATCTTTTGGCAAATACCTTCAGCCAGCGGACATTTCAAGGCTTTGAAGCATTCTGGAATTTTGTCAAGAACGGCTGCGCAAACCGCCAGGTGCAAAACTGACTCTCTGCTTTTCATGTCGGTGATCCCCGGTCTCAGAAAGCCAAAAACTAACAAAAAGCCAGGTCGCAGCAAAGAAGCCAGGAGGAAGGCCAAAGCCTCGGGCTGGCAACACAACACCTCGTCATTGCATGGAAACTTCAAAGCCAGGTCACGTAGAAAGGTCCATTCCAGAGTCTCTAGCAAGGCGAAACATTCCTACCTGCTGTTAAAATTGACAAAGTGCGCCACAAGCTTGTGTTTCTTTGTTGCGACGTGCTATTCTGCTACTATTTGTTATTGGCTGGCCCAGAGCATGTTGTTGTTTCGTTGTCCAGCGCTCTCTCCCTCTCTTTCTCACTTGAGTCAGATCCAGAGCACTGCACGCCAATGCTGAGCAATGTTGACCCTTGATGAATAAACCACCCACTCGCAAACAGGGTCGCTGTGGTTGTTTCCAAACGACCCCCCCCAGATTCATCTTCGAGCGCAGGGGTCAACATCAGCAAGCGAGCAAGCGCAAGTAGGCGGGGCTCAC